TCTCTCTCTCTCTCTCTCTCTCTCTCTCTCTCTCTCTCTCTCTCTCGGATGAAAAAAAGGCTGTTTGACGGAGAACTAAATTACCCATCAATTAACCCTCTTTTATCCGTTAATTTCTGTAAAAAATGGTAGAAACTGTCATGAAAATCACAGCGCAATAAGAAAAATAATTGTTTTGCGGCGCACAGTGACTCCCGGTGATTAAAAATTGACCTCTCCCCTCCTAATTGAGATCAAGGGATGAAAAAAGGGCAGTTCGATGGAGAATTAAATTCCCCAGCAATTAACCCTCTTTCATCCCTTAATCTCTGTAACAAAAACATAAAAACTGCAAAGAAAGTCAGGGGCCAGTGAGAAAAATAATAGTTTCGCGGCGTACAGTGACTCCCGGTAATTAAAAATTCACCTCTACCCTCGTAATTGAGATTAAAGGATGAAAAAAGGCAGTTCAACGCAGAATGAAATTCTCCATTAATTAACCCTCTTTCATCCCTTAATCTCTGTAACAAAAACATAAAAACTGCAAAGAAAGTCAGGGGCCAGTGAGAAAAATAATAGTTTCGCGGCGTACAGTGACTCCCGGTAATTAAAAATTCACCTCTACCCTCGTAATTGAGATTAAAGGATGAAAAAAGGCAGTTCAACGCAGAATGAAATTCTCCATTAATTAACCCTCTTTCATCCCTTAATCTCTGTAACAAAAAAACAAAAACTGCCAAGAAAGTCAGGGGCCAGTGAGAAAAATAATAGTTTCGCGGCGTACAGTGACTCCCGGTAATTAAAAATTCACCTCTACCCTCGTAATTGAGATTAAAGGATGAAAAAAGGCAGTTCAACGCAGAATGAAATTCTCCATTAATTAACCCTCTTTCATCCCTTAATCTCTGTAACAAAAAAACAAAAACTGCCAAGAAAGTCAGGGGCCAGTAAGATTAATAATTTTTATATGTTACGTGCATGTAACCGCATAGGTTTCAGTTGACTATAGTCAACTGGAAAGCAGCGGGTTTCGAGCGCCTACCCACACTCAACTAAAACCCGAAATAACGCATGACGCGCATGCGCATCACCTATTCAAGAGAATAACAAGGAAGGAAATCTAACCTCCGAATAGTGAATACATGGAATGACTGAAAAATGAAAAGGTGATTTTCGAAGCAGAAATCGTATAATTCCTGATAGTGATGAAGAATTAGGCAGTGAGGAGGATTTATTTACTGATGAGGAGGAGTTGATTAGTGATGTGATATTTGAAGAAAATGGAAATGAAATATTCTCTAAGAATTCACCGAAGCTTCACTGAAATTTGGTGATTGATTTCTAGAAATTAGTGATAAGTCATTGAGAATTCAGTAACGAAAATGAAATTTTTCAATCACACTTTTTTATGATTACTTTTTTAAATAAATGT